ATTGGTTTGCCGTACCAATAAAACATCAACATGTTCAACAACTTTCCATACAGGAAAAGTACGGACAAGAATTCTTCTGCACTATTCGTAGTTCGATACTTGAGCAACAGAATGCACGTGAATACCAAAAATATTTTTTTTTCTGGAGGCTTCAAAGAAACACAGATCAACACACAAAGTGATAGAATAGTAAAACAATATAGAAACTTGATTCCGTGTGACTACCTCTAGAGACAGATCAAGAAAGTGGGAAGCCAATGGATGAACATAACGAATGACAATAAACGGAAATATGTAGAGGAAATTGACTATATAGTGCGGTAGAAAAAGTCGTTGGTAAAATTCGGACGCCGTCATCCTTTGATTTGTTCCACCTCCGCTCAATTTTTCTGTTTGTACATATAAGGGTGATTATATATGCTTATGCGTATTATCATTTTGCGAAAAATGATTGGTTGATCTTTTTGGCTAGAATTACGCCGTCTTCTCGTCGATCCGGCCAGAACCTGCAACCTTCCGTAGGTTATGTAATCTGATGCGTAAAACACGTATTCGTATGCGGCCTCGCTTTATCTTTTCCATCTATCGAATTTCTCAAAAAACGTTTACAGTAAGCAAAATTCCTGAAACGATCGTAAATAGAGGACATCCACCATTGTAAAAAAAATCCGGCTCACAATATTTATGAAAAAATCCTATTTTTTTTTTCTTTGTTTCCATTCGTACGTACCTTACTCCCTGTAAAACGTTACACCGCTTTTTACTGTCATCGTGATACTCTTTCTGCAATCCGTTATTATTATTTGTTATTATACGTCACAGCTCATTCATCATAGTCCTGTCCTAATGAAGTATAGGTATCATGGAAAAACGACACAGGCGTTCCGTCCAATCGATTATTATATAAATAATAGTTGTCATGCTATGAACTTGCGCAGCGCAAATTTCAGTCTTTAGTCACAATTATGCTTGATAACTAAAAGGAAAAAAATTTATGATTTAGTATTTATAGTTGGGAATGACAACGGAAAATATATTCATTAAGCAAACAACCTCCTCTAAGATGCCAGCGAACCGTGATTCGTATTTGAGCACACCTGAACTCTACATTAGCGATTTGCCCATCAGTGTTGGTGACGAAGAACTGAAGAAAACATTGAAGGATGTCGATCCTATTGAGTAAGTAACGTTCCAGTGAATTTTCACCCGTTCATTTTTTTTTTTTTTTTTAACCTGTTTGAATGTTTGGATTGTTTCATTTTTCATTTAAAAAAAGGGTTATTATTCATCGTCAACCTGGAAATATCAATAATATAACTTTAAACGGCGTCATTCGTTTTTCGTCGATAGAAAATGGTATGAACGATTGCTTGGTTAACTTTTTCATAATACTCTTGTTTTTAATGCTTCTAATCAAAATCGATTATACAAATCAGCTGAAAAGGCATTCGCAATCTATAACAACATCATGTTGGAAGCTTATAAGACTTACTTAAGTTTAAAAATTACTGATCCAACCAATCACTCCAGCAGTGAACCGCAGTCGAACGCGTACATCTTGCAGGTGGATCAATTGCCTGTTACCACCACGAACCTAACTCTTTTCGACCTCTTCAGACCATTTGGACCCTTGTTTTCCACAAGGATACAATATCCGGATAAGAAGAATAAAGGGAATTGGTATGCCCTTGTTCAATTTTTTAGGCAAGAAGATGCAGAACGAGCCATTATGACAATGGTATGCTCATTATTACGCCTAGACATCTCGTCTTCCTTTCGAATTACTCAATACTCATCGTTACAACACTTCTCTTCCAGAATTGTCAACAGATCGAGGGAAAGAATATGTACGTGTGTGTGTGGTAACGTCTTCATGATTTTGTGGATACACTTCTTTTCTCTAATGTCCGTTGCCTTTTTAAATAAATAGCACAGTGACAAAATTTCTTGGCGGAAAACAGAATAAATCTACCGCTCGCGCAAACATAACTAGTCTTACTATGCCCAATATTACAGTAGGTTTTTCGATTGACCTTCCCTGAACAATCTAATTCATTCGAATTCGAACATTTTAAAGAAGAGATAACAAGGAACAATGTTATATTCATTTCAAACGGAATAGGGTTCGTTCTCTCCACCGGCAAATAAGTTTAACATGCAAACACCTTCATCCCCGGGTCCAGAAGGTCCGAATGTTGACCCATGCAATTTATTCATCAAGAATCTTGATGCCAATATTTCCAGTAGCGATCTTTTCAATCATTTTCGTCGATATGGTCGGATCATTAGTGCTCGCGTCATGAGAGATCAGGAAACCGGTAATTCAAAGGGCTTTGGCTTTGTCAGTTATACTTCATCCGATGAAGCAGACAGAGCCAAGGCATCCATGCATGGAAAGACCTTAGGAAATAAACAAATAGTTGTCAGGCTTCACGAACCCAAGAAATTACGTGAAGCCAAGCTGGCAAATCACTATAGCAGTAGTCCCGCATCTCCCTCTGAGAGCCGAGTCCCTTCTAGGCGTAATTCAGAATTACTCATTATAAATACCGTCAATGAATTTGGACGTGAAGATCTCGCCGGGTTGGCACCGAAGGCTCGCAGAGAAGTTTTGATGTCGGAACTACAGAAAAGATTTAAATCTATTCCTAGCATACCTCAGGAGGAGGTCAATCCAATCATCGATTACTTGTTAAATATGAAGACCGATGATGTATTGCACATCCTCAAGGATGCAAGTTCCTTGCAACAAAAGGTTTGCATTCCGTAAATTTTATGCCCGCATTGCATTATCGCGTATTTTCCAAAAGGTTGACATACTCATTTTTTAACACACAATTGTAGATTAGCGAAGCGAGGTATTGTCTGTACCAAGACAAGAAACGTCGTGGTTCTGAGGAAGTTATTGCTACTCAAGTTCCGAGTATCAACAACAACAACACCAGTTTCCAACAGATTCCACAACACGAAAAATTCACTAAAGCTATCAATAAAATTTACCCTCAAAAGGCAGATGAAATCCTCGAACTTATCATGACCTTGAGCGCAAAAGAACGATCATCGTGCTACTTTAATCCCGAATATCTAAACAAAAAAATCTCTGAAGCATATCAGGCATTAGCGATCATTAATGAAGATGTTGTTGTTCCCAAACCGATAGCCCACACCGATGTTAAAACCACCACAATTTCGTCGCCAGGCTCCAGTCATCCTCAGCATCCCGCCGCCACCATGGTTGCCGTAGTATCATCTGAGACACCCAACGGCGTTCATAGCGCCGCATACGAAGAGATTGAACAATTTATCGAAGGCCTGAAGAATAAACCTCTTCATGAACAGAAGCAAAAGCTGGGCAACCGTTTGTTTCCGTTGGTTAAGGTAGTTGCGAGCAAATTTGTCTTGTTTCTTCGTGTCGAGAATTTAAATTTATAAGTGACTTGATAAACCTCATTCATTACTTGCCTTAAATTAGAATCTTGGTCTTAAGAGTGGCACCGCTAGTAAGGTCACCATCAATCTTCTGGATACTGACGATCTCCGCGAACTGGCTCATTCAATGAATGAACCAGAGAAGTTCAGACAGAGAGTATTGGCTGCAGAGAAGATTGTGTCTGCGAAATAAAATGAGCAAACAAGGTGAGGAATCTGGTTTATAATTTTAATTTCTAACATTGCTTAAAAATTTATCTAATCTCGATTTGCATTCATCTCCTGTTTAGCAAAAAACAATGATATATGGTCAGTCGCCTGTTGGTTCATTGCTGGATGGGCGATGAAGTCTATGTGCAATTATATATGTTTACATCAATCCCAACTTTATAAATATGTTGTCGCCTTATAGTAGAGAATTTGGTATTAGATATTAAATTTGATTTAAATCAAATTTCACTATTACTCATCCTTCTGGAAATATTGAGAAATGGCAGAAATAATATTTTCGATAATTTTTGCTTTGCTTATTTTGACAATAACGAAGAGTGGAAGTTGAGTAACGGTGGAATAAATATGGATTTTGGAAATATGTAGTCTTTTATTTATAACATACTGTATACGATATTATTACATATAAATTTACTTTTGAACGATATTTTTTTTTTTTTTTTTTTTTTTTTCTCAATATATAAATATACACGGTATCAAAATTTAGATTTTAACGATTCCGTAGACATTTCTATAATATGCTATTTATTTAATTTCACTCAAACTTCCGAGTGATTATTTATACCGGTAATAAACAACATTTAAACTTTAATTTCTGTAATGTTACGACTACTACCAAAAGGACATTGGATTTAACAATATTTCTATCGTTTTATTTGATAATTATATATTTACAGTTTGGTTAATAATCAGGTTCATTTGTTTATTAAATTATATGAAATCATTACAAATATAAAACATAAATGTATATATAAATCTACTTGACCTAGTTTACCTATCAATCTTTATATGTAATTTATAAGGGCGAATATCATTCATATATTGAATAGAATTAAGATTCAAAGTCTATTATTAAGATCAAAACCTATAGATTATTATTATTATTATTATTATTATTATTTTAAATGAATGGTTTACACCATTATTCAAATTAAATAAAATATATATTAATTTCCTTGTTGATACTCGATGTATCTAGAAGTGACTAACTTAAACTTGTGGCATAATTTGAATATTACTAAAAACTATGTTCTACTATAAGGCTTATCACCAACAAAAGCAACAGTATTTCTTGATCAATCTATCAAGCACTACTGATTCCTAAAAAAAAATTTTTTAAATAAGCCAACTTTTCTACACCTTTTGATCTTAAAATTTATAAACTTTTTCATTAAAATTCCTCAACACCTAACAGATTACCCATTGGAGTACTGTATCTCTATTCTTTTCAAAAGAGAGAGAGTGAGACTTCTTTTTTAACAACTTTTACAGCCATAGTGGAAAGGAATGGTTTCAGTGGCTAGCTTTATTGATCCTATTCCAATTGCTCAAGGTCCCAGGTTCAATTGTTACTACCTTTCTAAAGTGATTGTATTAGCTAGATGGTACAATTTCAGTCACTTATTTTTTGTACCCAAGGAAATAGAGTTTTATTATGGTCTAAATACAATCCTTTCATACTCAGATAGAAACCTAATACTGTTGTTCTTGTCAGCATCTTGAAATATTTTCTCATCTAGGTGGCTGTCTGAAGAATTACAATTTGAAAAGCAGATAGAACCTAGGTTTAACTAATACCTTAAAACCTATGGCAGGGTTAACAATTCAATCCTTTAGATAGTGCTTAACTTCAAGTATAGGCTGCTTATTTAAAAAGGCACAACTTTTCCAAAGTTAGGCTATGTCTTGAGAGGAGTTTTCCGTTCTGGCAAATGTTATTAACTAAGTACCTTTACTAAAGATAAGAATAGTGGATATCGCTAACAGGCTTAGCAGCCCTTACAACAGAGTGAGTCATGTTGAGGGTCTTGCTGAGCAGTTTACAGTTTGTGATCCTCCACAAATCATGGATTAGAATCAAAAAACCCTATAGAGAAAAAATATTCTATTTATTTTATTTGTATTTTTTAAAATATGAAAAAAGAATAAAGGAAAAAGAAGAGACTGAGAAAAGTAAAAAAGTATGCATACAAGTTCAATTATATCAAAATAGATACCTTATCACCTTGCTCTTTTCTATCTGAAGTAATAACATTATCAGAATTGTATAGTATGAATAGGAACGTGTTCTTGTTTTGTTTATCTGTTACTTGTTTATTGTTGTCCAATCCAAATTTTCAGCCAATGGAAACCCAGCAGATCTGGTATAACCAAAAATTCAAGGTCAAATTGAGATAAGCAAATTTCTTCAGAAAAACTAAAGAATTTTGAAAACACACTAGAAAGATAGCTGTATTCATATTGTAAAGGTTTCTGGAAATCAAGATATCCAACAACCTTTCAGCTTTTGGAGTCATCCTTTCTAATAGAGATACTGATATCATAGTAATAAAAAGAAAAAGGGAAACCAAATAAACTGTCTTTTTCCTTAGGGAACTCTTTCTTGCCATTAGAGCTTGGATGAGTAAAAACTAAGTGACCTTCTTATTTTTACTTTTTTGAAAGGATAAATAAAATAGTGGAGGGTATAAGAATGTCTTGCCAAGGTTTGTCAAGTTGTATTAAAGAGAGTGTATAGATTTTGTTAAGAATAAAGATATGCTTTAGTCTAAATGCTGTTTTGAAATGTTGGTCAAGAGATCAGCAAGAAGAGTATATAGATTATTTTTATAATTATATATTATAAATTTAAATTATGTTATTTCTTTTGTAAAAATTATTATTATTATTATTATATTAATGGATAGTTTATATACTATTCAAATTACTTGTATATACATTAGTTTCCTTGTCAATACTTGATGTATCTAGAATTTAACTAACTTAAAAATAAACTATTTGAATATATACTAAGAATTATATTTTATTATAAGATTTATTATTAGTATAATCAATAATATTTCTTAACTGATCTATGAAGCATTATTAATCTTAAAAAAATTAAACAAACAAAATCTTTTTTACATCTGATTTTAAACTTGTAAACTTATCAATAGAATATTTTAATATCTAACAAATTATCTATTGAAGTACTATATCTTTTTTTTTGAAAAAAAAGAAAAAGTATAACTTCTTTTTTATCAATATTAAAGCAGAAGATGAATGATTTCAGTGATTAATTTTATTAATTCTACTTTATTTAAAATATTTTCTTATTTAAAAGACTGTTTAGGAAATTACAATTTGAAAAACAGATAGAACCTTGTTAGTTAGAATATGTTTCAATATCTTAAAAAATAAAAAATAAAAAGAAAATATATCAAATCTATTATATCAAACTGGATATTTATTTATCTTGCTTTTCTTATTTAATTAGTTAACATTATTAGTATTATATAATATAAATAAGAATATAATTATACTTTGTTTATATTTTATATATTTATTGTTATTTAATTAAAAATTTAAATCCATAGAAATTTAGCAAATCTAATATAATCAAAAATTCAATAAGTAAGTAAAATTATTTTAAAAAACTAAGAGAATTTTTAGAACATACAGTATTAGAAAAGTAGCTATTCTCATATTTCTAGAAAATCAAGATATTTAACAATTTTTTAGATTGTAAAAATATTAATATTACAATAATGAAAAATAAAATAAATTAAATAAATTGTTTTCTTCTCTAAAAAACTTCTTTTTATCATTGAAGCTTAAATAAATAAAACCAAAAAATCTTTTTGTTTTATTTTTTTAAAAAGATAAACAGAACAGTAAAAAGTTAAAAATTTCTTATTAAGATTTGCCAGATTTATATTAAAAAAAATATATAAGTTAAAAAAAAAACAAAACTCTTTCCCACTCCCCCCTTCTACGCTTGAAAATTTCCTTTTTAGGAAATTTTTGAGTTGTTTACTTTTTCTTCGTCTTCCCTTTTTCCTTCTCTTTATGCTCTTTCTCCATACCTCTTTATTTCCCTTCTCCTATTTTCTCCCCTCTCTTCTATATACTCTCTCTTTTTAAAAATTACCCCTCCCTTCCGTTTTTCCCTTTTCTTCCTACCGAAGCTAGGTTTTTCCTTTTCCCTGAAGATTTTCCTCCCTAGGCCTCTCTCTCTTTTGAAAACTCCATCTCCATAACATCACTCCT